TTCTTCCCTTCTTAAAATTAGATTGTAACCTTTTGATAAATCATAAATTTTGTTCGATTTCGAGCGCAGCAGCGAATATTTAGCAACGATATTTAGCAAATATTTAGCATTTTTTTAGTTCGCCTCGACGCAAAATCGGAGTAAATCGTACGTGTCTCAAACGTAACTAATTACGATCTTTCTCGTCGTATATGATTATCTGTATCGCGGAACTCGCTCGATGACCTGCTTTGAATCGCTTCAACCGTTGAGAGCCGAAAGTTGTCAGTTCGAAAGGTCGTGGTGAGCGTGTACACATACCTGGCGGACTGGGCTTCGCGTTCACGTCGGCCACCATCCTTTTATGGGGTTGAACTGCATTCTTCGACGACTTACACGCGTCAGGTTCAACCAAGGTTCGAATCCTTCTCAAAATAGAATCGATACGTGGGCAGCGTAAGACAGAATAAACTTGAAATATCCCGCAGGATGTATAATTGAAAGAGAGAGTTTTTTTTTTTTTTTTTTTTAAGAAAAATAATAAATCGAATTAGAAACGAAATTAATCTCGCCAATTCCCCGAGATTTGACCGTGGAATTTGCACGTACACACACTCGAGCGCTAATACACCGGTGCTAATTACTTCTTGATTAAACCTTCTTGATTAATACTTCTGATTACGCTTTCGATCGTCTTCGAGGCTCGCACGATCCACGTTGCGGAAATGTCGTCGTTGGTTCGTGATTAATTGAGGTGACGAAACTGCGGCCTAATTATGCGCCGTATCCTTGTAAGGAAATGGCTGTAATTAAGAACCGACGATTATTAATGAATTTTAATTTACTTTTTTTTTTTTTCTAACTTTTTCGAAACTTTTTCTCTCTCGAACGGATCACTAATTCCGTTCTTACTTTAATAGGAATTAAATTTCTCATACGTTTAATTTGTTCAAACTCAATTTTTTCTCTCTTTTTTTTTTTTTTTTTCGAATCCAAAGGAAAATGGAAATATATCTTTTGCCATATCCATATAGTTGCAAGTATCTTTAAAAATTATTAAATAATGATAAAGTGATCTTAAAAATTGTGTGTATATATATATATAGCGTACTACGTAAAAGCTTTATTAATTAAGGGTGAAACATCACGTTCTTACTTTAATAGAAATTAAATTATATATCATATATATCTCATTTAACATTTAAACTATTTTTTCTTTTTTTTTTTCGAATCCAAGAGAAAATGGAAATATATCTTTTGCCACTTTTAATCCATATCTACTATTTAATCCTATAGTTGCAAACGTCAAATTCGTATCTTTAAAGTGATCTTAGAAATTACAAAAAAATTGTGTGTATAGTAGCTATGTAGAAGCTTTATTAATTAAGAGTGGAAGATCATGTTCTTACTTTAATAGAAATTAAATTATACCATATATTTCTCATACATTTAAATTATTTTTTCTCTTTTTTTTCGAATCCAAGAGAAAATGAAAATATATTTTTTGCCACTTTTAATTCATATCCTTATAATTACAATCAAATTCGTATCTTTGAAAATTATTATATTAAATGATAATAAAATACGTAGAAACTTTATTAATTAAGGATGGAAGATCACATTCTTACTTCAATAGGAATTAAATTATACTATACATTTAAATTATTTTTTCTCTTTTTTTTTGAATCCAAGAGAAAATGGAAATATATTTTTTGCTATTTTTAATCCATATCCTTATAATTGCAATGCAAAATTATTATATTAAATGATAATAAAATACGTAGAAACTTTATTAATTAAGAGTGAAGAAAATCATGTTCTTACTTTAACAGGAATTAAATTATACCATATGTTTCTCATACATTTAAACTATTTTTTTTCTTTCTTTTCGAATCCAAAGGAAAGTGGAAATATATCTTTTGCAATCATCAAATTATATTAAATGATAATAAAATACATAGAAACTTTATTAATTAAGGATGGAAGATCACGTTCCTACTTTAACAAGAATTAAATTATATCATACATTTCTCATTTAAACTATTTTTTCTCTTTTTTTCTAATCCAAAAGAAATATATCTTTTGCAATCATCAAATTATATTAAATGATAATAAAATACATAGAAACTTTATTAATTAAGGATGGAAGATCACGTTCCTACTTTAACAAGAATTAAATTATATCATACATTTCTCATTTAAACTATTTTTTCTCTTTTTTTCTAATCCAAAAGAAATATATCTTTTGCAATCATCAAATTATATTAAATGATAATAAAATACATAGAAACTTTATTAATTAAGGATGGAAGATCCCATTCCTACTTTAACAGGAATTAAATTATACCATACGTTTCTCATACATTTAAACTATTTTTTCTCTTTTTTTTTTTAAGAAAATATATCTTTTGCAATCATCAAATTCGCATCTTTGAAAATTATTATATCAAATGACGATAAAGTGATCTTAGAAATTACGAAAGAATTGTGTGTATAGCTGTACCATACGTAAAAGCTTTTTATTAATTAAGGGTGGTGGAAGATCACGGGACGGCGGCGCCGCGTTTCCTCGGCCGAGAACATTCGTCAAAGCGACGCGATGACATCATTGTTTGCCGGGCGAAAAATGGACGGCGAGGATCTCGGCCGTCATATCGCGGAGGCACTTTAATTGAACTCACTTGAGACACGAGTGAAACACGAGTCGGTTTCCTCGTAAGCGGCCAACGTCCATTGTTGCCTCCTCTCCTCCTCCTCCTCCTCCTCCTTCGTTTCACTTTACTCGTGGCGGCGTTTCTCGAAATAGCCGCTCTCCCGTTTCAGAAACAGGCTAGGATTTTTATGGGATTCAATTGATCAGAAGGACGAATCCCCCGTGCCCGACACTTCTCCGAACCTTGGTCAATCTGATTATCTTTATTTCTTTACTCTCTCTTTTCTTTTTTAATTTTATTATACAGATATACACTGTAGAATTTTTTTAACCCTTCGCGCTCGAATAATGACTCTTCACCATTCGAATTTCCAACCACTTTAAGAAAATAGATCTTAAAGATCTTAGAATAATTCCTAATAATTCTACTAATATTAATATTTCGATCATCAAATACAAATATCTCGTTGCACGTGCTACGACTATGTAATAATAATCGATATTAAAATATTCAATTATAGAATTATATATTATATATTATCGAGTAGCTGCTTTTATTTTTACTTCTTTTTTAATTTATTCAAATGATGATGACTCTTCGCCATTCGGATTTCCA